TACCTAAAACTAATTCCATCCAGGGAGGACAAGTATTTGAGTTAACATTACCATCACATACAAACTTCAAACTCTTGTGTTCCAGAATACTTCCGAGTCTTACTTGGTAAGGGACAAAGGAACACTAGAAACAAAAAAATTGCAGGCTTCTCTGCAAACCCACGAGCTTCATACAAAAAACCTGCAAACAGGGCATTTTCCTTCAGTACATGAAAGCAGGATTTCACATGTATTTTTATGGATGAAATTCCCTTGGACATAAGGGCTGTACAGTCTTCCTTGCACATGCAGTTGCAAGTAATGGCAAGATGATAACTTGTTATTAAGACTCAAATCTGGAAAGATATCCAGGCAATGCATGGAGTAAGAAGGGCCCTCTGTGGCCATAGGAAGAAATTTCAATTTCTGAATTTCATTCCATCCCCCTTTCTGTTGATTCTGCCTCTTCAACTGTGAATCAAACAGAAACAGCCCAGCACATTAACCTCTAGCTACTGCAGTTTTCTGTTCCCCTGAAAGTAACAGCAGGCAAAAAAAAAATAATTATCTGGAATTTTGCTTACATTTTCCAATATATTTGTCTGCCCTGTTTCTTGATTATCCCAATATTTTTAGACATCTGAATAATGAGCTATGTTGGGAAGCTGGATGCACTGTATATTGGATATATTTAAAGATATATTGAATAATATGGAGAAATGATCAGTCAGTACAAAATGCAATGGTTAAGCACAGTGGAGGTACTGCTGCACATACTGTAACACGTCTGAGGAATCCAAGAAACAGAGACAATGCTGGAATTTCAGATGGCCTGCATTTTCCCACCACCTACACCCACTGATGAGCAGTGTATAAAAAGCCATAGGGAGGTGCCCAGAAAATCTTATCACTTTTTGTTGATGCTGTTCAGGACACTGCAAACACAGACTGGCAAAGCTAAGCTCAGTTTTACTAAGCTGCTACTTGGAAAAGGCCCTGAATAAGCTACATGGAGCTCAGACTTTTGAGGGAGGAAAAGAGAGAGCTATGCTGGGGGAGAAAAGCTGTAGGGAAGGATGGCACTTTGACAAGTGACTGACAGCATGGGCATTATTAATAATAATTATTAATAATCTTTAAGTCAATTCAGTGTCAAATGGGATATTGCTACCCATCTGAAAACTTTCCAACTATACTGGAAATAGGTGCATTTGCCTTAAATACAGGACTTTAGAATAAAATAATCCTCAAAGATTTTCAGGAACCCTGCAGATATTTTTAATAAAAACAAGACCTGACCTGTCTTCCATCTCTTCTAGGAACAAGACAGATATTCTAAGCTAGGTCACCTTACAACATATACCTGTGCTCAGAAAGGCTTACTCATTAGGAGCCCCTCAGTCCTGAATCAGGATTTCAAATTAAAACATGGCAAATACTTTCTAGCTAGACATACAAAACTCACTTCTACTCCTCTTAACTAGACACAAGCATCTCACTACTTGGTTACACAACTGACCTTGCACAGGTTGGATACAAGCTCATCACCAGCTAGCCAGCTCTTTATTAAGGTTCCCTCCACAGGAATTATTGGTCTGGAAAACCTGGCCAGGCAGGGGGTATTCAGGATTTTAATGTAAGGGTTTATACTCAGACTGACCTGTCACATTAAACACCAATAATAGCAAACAGGAGACATCACTGATTTCCATGTGTAGTTTTTTGGGTGTTTTGTTGGGGTTTTTTTTGGTTGGTTGGTTGGTTTGTTCCACAAACCCAGGCTCTTTTGTAATATACTGTCTTAATTCTTTCAGGTTTAGGGTGGGTTTTTTCCTTCAAAACTGTGGGGAAAAATGAATGGCCCAGCAGATTCAAGCCCACTCTTCAATTGCTCAAATCAATCAAATTTTGCTTTGGAAACGTTAGAGCAATGTGGCAAAGAGACACACATGGAGAACATCCTTTTTGCCACTTTCTACTTCCTGGACTTCATCCTGGCTTTTGCTGGCAATGCCCTGGCTCTTTGGCTCTTCATTCGGGACCAAAAGTCAGGCACACCCGCCAACATCTTCCTGATGCATCTTGCTGTGGCCGACCTGTCCTTTGTGCTGGTACTTCCCACCCGGCTGGTGTACCATTTTTCTGGTAACCACTGGCCATTTGGTGAGATCCCCTGCAGACTCACCGGCTTCCTTTTTTACCTCAACATGTATGCCAGCATCTACTTCCTCATGTGCATCAGCATTGACCGTTTCCTGGCCATTGTGCACCCCGTCAAGTCCATCAAGCTCCGCAGGTCCCGGTATGCCCACGTGGCATGTGCCTTTCTGTGGGTCATTGTTGGGGTGGCAATGGCACCTCTGCTGCTCAGTGTGCAGACAGTCCAGATGGAAAACACAACCGTCTGCCTGCAGCTCTACAGAGAAAAGGCCTCACGCCACGCCCTCGTGTCCTTGGCAGTGGCATTCACCTTCCCCTTTGTCACCACAGTGACTTGCTACTTACTCATCATCCGAAGCCTGAAGAGTGGGAACAGGGTTGAGAAACACCTGAAGGAAAAAGCTGTCAAAATGATCATCATGGTCCTGATGATCTTTCTGATTTGCTTTGTACCTTATCACGTCAATCGCTACATTTACATTCTCCATTACAACGGCACCAAAACCTCCTGTGAGACACAGCGTGTCCTGGCCCTCAGCAACCGTGTCACCTCCTGCCTCACCAGCCTCAACGGGGCCCTCGACCCAGTCATGTATTTCTTCGTAGCCGAGAAATTCCGCGAGGCTTTGTGCAATCTGTTCTGCATTAAAAAGACTGTAGTGCTGCCTCAAACGTACGAGGGTAAGACAAATGAAAGCTCACTAAGTGCTAAATCTGAACTGTGAACGTGACTCTTGTCACTGCTTTGACTTAAGGACGCTCACTTCCACCAAAAGCAGCTGAGAGCACAAATAGCTGGTGAGACAGTCCACACAGAGTCAAACTCGGCCCGAGAAGGGAAGTTCTGTTGGTTTTGTGGGACTGCAATTAGCAAGAACTCCTCTGACAACAGAGATCACATCTGCTTGTCTTACTGAAACTGCAAACAGAAGGACACTTCTACTGATTTCCAAGATGTGAAACTGAGGGTTGAGCACTTAGGAACAGGGAAGGGGACAAAGAGGAAAATGGACCTTTTTTTTTTTTTTTCAAAGAACTTAATCCCAAAGCACTCAGTAACGACTCTTCTTCTGCACAATGCATACAGCCTTCTCTAAAATTTCATATTGTGCCAGCAGTAGAGATCCACTCCTGAGACAGACCTGCCTGATGAGAAAACAACACCCTAGCACATCCTGTCCAGGTCTCCAAATTCAAAGCATTTATACATAGTAGAGAGAAAATTGGTACTAAATGGTGACAAGAAAAAAAAGCTGCAGTGAACCAAATGCTGCCAAATGCTGCAGTGAACCTAGCCTGGACTGGAATTAAGACAGGTCTTACAATGTGGGTTTTTTTAATTCTTCCCAGCATTCAGAGCTGGAGATGAGCACAAAACTTCTCACTACCTTCGCTATCTGCACTCTGCCGTTGTCTCAAAGCTGCAGACAGCGGGTGGACAATATTAATACACTGTCTCTTTTATGCAAAAACCTGCAAATATCCTGATAACCCTCAAACTGAGGAGTGGAAAAGGGTTGTTTAGGAATACAGCATTCATGTTTGCTACATACTGAATTGTAAAAATATGTAAAAATACCCAAATGGCAGAAGTGAAGAAAAGTAAGTGCTTGAAGAAGTGAAGTCTACTTGGTCCAGAAGAGACTCCCATCTTTAAAATGGTTTACAACTTTTTTGTGACTTATCTAGCAAGACTATTCCTTCCCTGTGGATAACGCAGGGATTATCTTTATTTTCACTAATACAAACTGCATCATGTAGAATATGCTTGGAACTGACAGGCAGACTAGAGAAGACCAGGTACAACAAGAAGGGTGAAAAAGAATGCAAGAGTTTCCAATAATATTTACTAGAAGACTGCTTCAATGCTATGGAGATAAATATTTTAGGAAATCATATGAGAGGTGAAATACATTTTTATAAGCTCTTTACCACCGTAGACTTGGCCCACAAATTACGAAATCAAACATACTTTATCTTGCTTGAACTGCTTCAATCCTAACTGTTTTCCCAAAACATCTTAAGTGCTATCCCAACAGCCCACTCTAACAAGCTTAGGTGTCAAAGAAAAATCAATTATGCCCAGCTCCAACTGGCACAAAGGCACAGCAGTTGCATACAGAATGGAAGGGGAGTTGAGAGGACTCCCTGTTGGACTGGATACAAGTATATAACCTTTCCTTCCTTTCTTCACCATTTAGCTAGTGAAAATATAAACTCTAGGATAAACCACTAGGCTTTGCTCATGACATATGAAAGCCTAAAATAAACTATGAACTGTGCACTGTCTGCTAACTGCTGGATTGTTTTATTTTCTTATCATGGAATGCTTTTGTATAAGCTCTCTTTTGTGTTTTTATTTCTTACTTTTTAATTAAATGTATTAATTGACCTCTATGACTCATTTTTATATTTCTGTATATAAAATGAATGATTTCTGAAGACCAGTGAAATCACATGCTGAACAGACTGCTGTGATCATCGTGTTATTCTCTTGGCCTTCTTCTATATCCTGATTTCCAGCTCAGCAGCTTACTTGATAAATAGCCTGCCCGGGATCACATAATTCCTTTTTCTCATGTACTATTCAGCTTTCTTCCTGAAATCCCTTCCTTCTGCCTCAAATCCCTTTCTTTTCCAGAACCCATCCACTAGCTACTAAAATTTGAGTTTCTACATATTTCATTGGATGAAGAACACTGTTCTTCATTCCATTTCCCATATAAAAGGTTATTCCTTAAAGCTTCTCCTGTACCTTTTCAAGCTTTTCCTCTGTGCACAACTAACTGACCACTCTCAGCATCTCACTGCTGTATCAGTAACACACTGATAAAACTTTCCAAGCTCCTTCTCTGTCTTACCTGCCAGCATTCTTCACAAAGCCCAGATCAGCAAGGGTTACATCGCAGAGCTCACAGCGGAAACATTCTGGGTGCCAGTTGTTGTTCATTGCCTTGATAACACGTCCAATAATGAACTCACCTGCAAAAGGAAAGCAGCAGCTTGAGATGCATCAGAAAACAGGCATCAAAATCTACTGCCTTCATAATCCTTTCACTTCAATTTCACAAGTACAATTAACAGTCTAACTTCGAAGAAAACCCAATTACTCCTACAACCAGGATACCCCAAATCACTGCTGCTATCATGCTTTGTTTCCATCCAGAGCTCCTGCTCCTTTAAATGACCTCAAGAACCCCAGCCCAGGGCTGGATGTCACAGCAATGCTGGAAGGTTTGCACAGCCCTGTAGCTGTTACCCCACGGTGTTGACATGTGCCACATCTTACCACATTCCCCACAGCAAGGAGCAAACAGCATCTGAAAGTCATGCTCACAGTACTTCCGACCTTCGAACTGCAAACAAAACAAGAGAGAAGGAGCCCTCATGAACAATTGAACTACTTCTACATTTCGACAGTTCAGCATGACTGTCCATTGAAATGACCAATTAGTCAAAGTCACTCAAGTTCTCCAGTTTTAGCCCCCACACACACCTGTTTTTCAACTCCTAAAGGCTTTTCTTAAAGTAATATCCAGATAGGACTTCAGTCTCGTGGTGGATTTGCACAGCAAACAGTTAAATTAACAGTAATGTTGCCACAAGACAGTAAAAATCCTGAAGAAGCCTGAAGTCCTTTTACTATAGTTGCCTTTAATTTGCTTTACTTTAGAGTTCAGAACTACTCCTACTACACGAGGCTAAAACTAGTGCCAAAAAAATACGGCCCGTTTAAAATACTGTGTATTCATAATATGTGCTCATGCATATTCTGTAAAAAAAAAGTCAACGTAATTTTCAAATGGGTTCATCTATTTCAGGTGCCCAACTGGAGAAGTTTGGTCCAAAATGTCCAAGAATAAAGACAAAAATTCACTCATTTTTAATGAAATGTTAAGGTCAGGTTGGAGGGGGCTTCGCACAGCCTGGCCTAGTGGAAGGTGTCCCTGCCCATGGCAGCAGGTTGGAACAAGATGGTCTGTAAGGTCTCTTCCAACCCAAACCATTTTATGATTCTATGATGATTAAGAAACACGTTTAGTTTTCTTTCTGAAATGTCTCTTATCCAAAAGAGCAGCTTTTGCTGCTACTGAGGGAACATATGAGAAGAAAAAAAGGGAAATTAAGTTGGAAGCTCCTCAAAAAAATGGCAACAGAGGTTTAGGGCTAAGACATTAAACATGCAAGAAAGCCTGAAAATTCTTATATCTGCCAGAATTTCCACCTAATTCCTCGCACTTTAATAGAGCTATTTCTCTTGTCCTCCACCCAGTCTGAGAACTCACCTCATAAAAGAGCCCCTCGGGGAACTGCCGAAAGCACTGAGCACAGACGAAGCAGTTCTCGTGGTAGAGCTCCCCGTTGCTGTTGACAATCCTCTCCGCGGGGTTGAACCGCGCCTGGCAGCGCTCACACACCGCGTTCGCCAGAGCATCAGACATGTTACTGCAACGAAGGCAGAGAGCGGGAACGTGAGCCATGTCACAGCCGGTCAGGCGAGTACAACCACGGCACCCAAGCTTCCCCAACACCTACGAACGGGATGTTCCCGCCGCTTTAAACTCCCCTTCACGTGAACAGAAAAGATCAAGGGAGTCGATTCATCACTGACAGCAGCCAGAAATAACGTTCTGGCAACTCACGTGTGTCAGATGTGGTCATCTGGCGGACTTATCTATCGTACACTTCTGGGTACTTCAACAGTCTTTCACCCCACTATGTCATCCTGCTAATAGCTCATAGCAAATATTCACAATTTTAAATAAACTAGCAGCTTGGAGAGCAGCAAACCCAGCGATTCTGACTTCTCTGGATTTCTGGTCAGCCTGTACACCTCGGAGGATTTTCTGATGTGCACTAAGCACGGACATCCCACTGCAGTCTCCCCTTCACTGCAGGAATTAGCAGGGCACTTTCCCCTCCACATGCCCTGCCTTCCTGCCAAATTAACTGAAACTCTCCCAGTGTTACAAAAGTATGGGAAGAGAGAAGTACCTCTGGATGGCCTGCCCAAAACATCAGCTTCATTTGCTCAGAGAGTGAGGCTAAAAACCCCCCAAAGCCACACTCACAAAACACACAGCGAACATTTCCTCTATCTCCCCTAAAATATGGAACGGCCCTAACCTCTTTCACAAAATTTTCATGCTTGCCATCATGCTAATCTAAGTTAATGCAGTTTTAAAATCATGTATCACATGTCCAAACGGAGAGGGAAAAATTATAAGACAAGTCTCAGTTTCTTGCTGCAATGCAATCTTTCTTTTAACCACCAGGCCATATCCAATAACATAAAAATTCAATATTGTTGCACTTTTAGATACAGAAAAACTATTTTATGCCTTCTGGGCACCTTTTGAAATGAATGATTGGAAAGACTGAAGTTTTATAGATAGGAATATAAAAATTTTCCAGCATGTTAAAAATCTCTGAACTATTTGTATAGTACTTTTCCTGAAGTACGTGACGTAAGCATAAAATGAAAGATGGTTCAGTTTAAAAGATTTTTTCTTTCTTTTTACATTCAAAGGTATTCTGAACTGAATTTTCATTGTTAGTGTTATTCTACAACCTAGTATGCTACTGGGTTGTAGCATACACCTTTTCATGGAGAACAGTAACTCAAAAAGCACGTTCCAGTAGCAGAAGATCCTCTTTCCTCTGGTCCCCCCCTCAAAACACACCACTGTCTGTATTCCAGGGCTCTGTACTGCGAGCACAACTGGACTGAGCAGGCAGCAGCCTCATACCCCTGAGGCAACAAAGCCAGCCCTGCACACCAGCTGGCTCAGCTGAGCCAAGTGTCTCCCATCTGCAGCCTGCACAAACATCCAGCACTGTGACCTGGAGCGACTGCTCAGTTAAAGGAGACTTTCTTTCTACTGCTTCAATTCCAAGAGAGGCAAAAACCACGGGAGACTGTAATAATTTCAAGAATGGAGCATCAATTTAGCAGAAATTTGTTATAGCTTGTTTCCTTATTGCAATATGAAGGAGTTTTTAAAAACAGACATGGAGCGGAATTATGGACTAGCAGGAAATTCTGTAATTTCATAAACTAGAGATCACAGGTTAAAAAGACATTTTTATCCTGACACAGTACCAAAGGAATAGGTCAGCACAAAAACACCAAGTGTTTGCAGCAAAGCTGAGAGACTTAATCAGCTTGGTTTACAGTCACCGCTCTCTCAGTTACACCACGTAAACATGTGGCAGGACTTGAAAATATAATCTTCCCATCAAGTATTTTTTCCCTCTTGAAAAATTTGATTCCAGAATTCCAAGACTTGAGCTAGCCAGCAGCCATGATTAAGGAAGACTCATGTCAACATAGTGGAAAAACTGGCAAGAAAACCAGGCAAGCCAGCAAGTATTACACGCTACATATTAACAACAAAGCACCATCTAAGGTTGTGTTTGGTGGGTTTTTGCTTTATTGACACGAAACCAACATTTTTAAAAATCCTGGTTTTCTTTCTTTCTTTTTCCTTTCTCCAAAGGGACCCATCAGTGCCACTACCAACTCGAGGGGTGAACTCTGCAAGACCAGAGCTGCCACCTCCACAAGGGCAGCTCACAACAATCGCAGCCTCCGGCCTTCGCTGCCACATTCCTGTGTGGGACACAGCACAGCGGGGCCAGTGCACACCCCAGACCAGGGAACAGACTTGTTCCAGGAGACATTTCCCACACAAGTCTGTGTTGGCAAGAACAGGAACTCCCTCAGGATGCTGCTGTTGATGCTGACAAGATTTCCTCAAAGGCAGAAGGAAGGTGATTGTGATGCAGTCCGAGCTGTCCATGCAAATGAGCTAATGAGTGTGACTTGTTACTCACACAAAAGAAACTATCAGTCCAGGAAAACTTAAAATAAAAAAATCAGTACACAAAATAACACAGTTCTCTGCTGCAGCTAAAACCAAACTAAAATTTGTTGGGAAGAGCCAAACTAATGGGAGTCAACTAAATCACACATCAGCTCCTGATCAACGTGTCTCCTGCAATACAAACCAGCAGCTGCGGCTCTTTGACAGTCACAGCTCAAGTTTTACCTCCCTGCTCTCTTTCCACTCCTAAGTTTGCATCCCTTAAGATGCTTTATTGTTTTACACTCAAGATAAAATCTGCCAGTTCAGCTTTGCCCTTGTCTTGGCATTTATTCAGAAGTTTTACTTTAACATTTGCCAGTTGCTTAATTTCTCTCAAGTACACACCCCTGTGTGTCCTCTTCCTTGGGCAAAACAAAGCATTTAGTCAGCTTAAAATTGGTTAAAATTAACCAAGGCTGGAAGGAAGAGGGAGCACAGTGCTGATTCAGAGCAGTTTTATGATTCAGTTTACTACACTGCTGCAAAAACACTGCTGCCAGCAGCATGGGGAGGGGAAGGGCAACACATAAACCACCCTTTGGACGGTGGTGTACCAGGAGTGACCACTAAAGTTTGACTTGCTGTGTCAATCATGAGATACTTAGAGCTAAATCACAAAGGACAGTCCCCAATACAGAGTGCTGCTTCTCTTCTGTTTGCTCACTGATTTTTTGCTATTCAGTAAAATAAAGAATCTTCCTCTGTTTTAACAATAAGCCAGTGACACAAAGACAGGAAAGGCTATTAAAACATGATGAGATCAACATCCTGAAGTTATCCTGTCCTGCACAAGCTCAAAAAATACCAGTTCTCAAACAATGCCTTTTGCAATCTTTCACCATTATGTGCTGCATCTTTAAAAATCTTTGTCAAAGCACGTAATTTACAGAAATTAGCTTTTTACCATTATAACTAGGTTTCTCATGCTTTGATTTCTCAGAAGTATTTACTACAAACTGCTCTCGAGTGGAAAGAAAAAAAAAGAAAAACAACAATTCCTTACTTACAAGTGGACATTAATTAGGAGACCCATTCTGTGCCACAGGTACAGGCACTACAGGAATATTTGAAAGCATTTTACCTTCTATCATTGAAGTCAAAATTACCTCCTTTTTAAAATATTTGTTCACAGGGATCTAGCACTGGTGACAGACAGAGGAAAAAGAAGCAAATCTAAAAATTGCATTGCTAAGAAAGTAGAAGAGAAGCTCCAGCCTGTGCATTAGTAGAATTCATTATCTTAAATGTGGCTGCAAGACAAAATGAACCAAAACTGGACAAGCAAAAGAGATGAACAGTCTCAGACTTTGCCAGGTTCAAGAAAGGAACTGCAGAAGCAAGGAGTGCTTCTGTCAGAAAAGCCCAGCAAAAAAAAAAAAAAAAATAAAAATCAGTTTTCTTTAATTGGTTTCCAAAGCTTTTTGGTTTTAGTGTCAAATAGAGTTCTCCTTCATCACAATGCTGATAAAGAATCGCTTTAATACAGACGACCCAAAATCTTACAGATACTACAAAAAGAAAGAAAGACAATAATTTGAGATACAAGAACCCAAGGCATTACCCAAACCTCAGCAGACAGGCACTGTAACTGTGCTGGGGAGCCCTATAAAAGTATTCTCTGCTCATTCTGGTTTACCAGTAGAAACAAGTGTATATAGAAAATATCCAAATATGATCACATTGACATGGTCATTTCCATTGTGCAGGCACACACGGGTAGGACAGTGAAGAGTCAAAACCAAAAGAGCTATCACCACTTGCACACATGACAGATGTCAGCAGCCAAGGTAAACATCAGAGCACTCCAGCTGAGGGGGTTCTTCCCACCCCCACAGTACGGCTGAGAATCTGTGGCTTCGAGTCCTCAGTGTTGACAAAGAGAAAATCTGCTGGGACAACACCAGACTTCATGATTAATTTCACAGACAATGACTAATGCAAAGACAAAAGAAAGAGGAAGGGTATCAGTTCATGAACTTGTGCTGAAAACCAGCCCTCAACCACCCTTACCATTCCAAAATCGCTTTGCTGCAATTGACTTCTACCTGGACAACATTCCCAAACTGAATTAACTTCTTCATTATTAAACTTGTCATAAAGTGTTAGAAAAAAAATTCCCATTTGTTCAATGTATGATTTGTTGTGCATTTGTTGAACTATGTGCATAGCTTAACATTTTCAGCATTCCTCCTTCTGCTTGCATCAAATTTTCAGTTCATTCTGATTAAGTATTTTTGCATTGGCTAAATAAGAAATTAATAGTGTTTATCTCAGTATATCTTCCTTGAACATGCAGCCCTCAAACTCTCAATGAAATGAACGTTTTTTTGTTCTTATTTAGAACACAGGGATAACCAAAGTTAAGAAAAATATACAAATGCAACTTATGGTCATAATATGGAAAAAACCCCAATCTCTCCTTGGCCTACCAGCAACAGCAATTTGCTGTTAGTAGAAGCCAGGGGGTTAAAAAAGATTCCATATATGTCAGCTGAGACCAGAGTACAATGTCCATGCTTGGGAAGCCGCTGTCAGGCAGATCTTTGAGACCAGCAGCAGCAAAGTCTGATGATACTC